ATGTCAGACAGAGCTAGCGTAGACATTGACCCTGATCTTGCGATATGAGTAAAACGGTTCGACCGTTTTCTATAAGCTACCAACTTCAGTTGGTAGCTGAATCTTTTGCTATTTTGATCCTCTGTCGCTTGAAATATTTTTGCCTTTTTTTGGGAGCTCATAGGTAAGGATAGATAGGGTGGAAGATTTGCTTCGTGATGTTTGTGGTTGAGGGGGAAGAAGGGAGTCAAAAGCGGAAATGCTCTGTTTTCGCCGACCATTGATTTCTTTCCAGCAATCTACACCGACGACAATGAACACATACTTTCAAACCTGTACCTTGGCAAAAATTGACCAAGGTCTTATTGAGTTTTATACACAAATGAGGCCGGGATGCTCTCGTGCCGTATAACGCTGCAATTCCAGCGCTGAAGTCTCTTCATGAACGGTTGGACCGAAAGTCAGATAGCGCTCCTCTCTAAGCGTACTTGTCTCCTGTATATGGGCTGAGACTAATGACAGAGCACACTTTTAGGCGACAAAGCTACAGCTCGCGTTACATTAGACTCTTAAGACCCCGAGAACTTCGGCAATGAGACAGATGAGAGCAATTGGGTATGACGACAATGGGATAGAAATTTGCAATACAAAGCAGTACATCGAAATTGCAGGGATCAGATATGCTTATTCCTAGCACCACTGACTCAGTCAACCAGTGTCATTTGCGAGCGCTACTTAGCGAGGGGGCCTCGAGATTCTGCTTAGGATGCCATTTTGGATACATCAGACCGGCTTGAAAGCGAGAAGTAGTGGACTTCCGTAGCTACAGCTATTTTGTGACAATGTGAATCTTGAAAAGCAAGGGGAGACGGTCCTGAGACTCCTCTTATCATATATGTGATCTGTGAGTATACCTGGGTTTTCGAGCGAGAAAGCAGGAGAAGCAGGAGCAATGCCGTTGGAATTCCTGGTCTGGGAAAGGCTTGCTTAGCTTAGCGCCTTTATCTCCGTCATATATGTAGGACAGTGTCGTCTCCATAATATCTCTCGTTTTCGTCCCCTCGGCCTCGTCCACCACACCCTAGCATCTTACTGGCCACGTGAGAGTTCCAATGCACATGCTGTTGCCGCAAGCTCCCCCTATTCTCTCATGAGGTTGTATCGAGGTGGCGCACTCGTACGCCCTTGATCCACGTTGAAGCATGCAGTCGTACAAGCGCACGGCTGTAGACCCTCTTTCACCGATATGGACTATACCGGGCCTGATTGCTTAAACGAGGAAGGCGATGCAATCATAGTCAAAGCTGACGAAGTGGATGAATCGGGTGCTGACATCTCTACCATCTCTCCTACGGATGCCCCAGAATCTGAGTTCACTGAGCGCATTGAATCGCGGAGGGCACACGATGCTCAGTCAAGTCCCAAGATCCTCGCCAATGCCGTACCCAGTCCTCCAAGAGCCGCCACCCGCCCACTTCTCCGTCGAGAAGGCTCCGCTCCGCCCCCGCCGCAACAGGCTCCTCCACCTGCCCCACCTCAACGGCAAGAAGAGCAGAGGAATCCAACGGACTCTTTGAGTTTGCTTGAGCTGAAGAGACTCGTAACCGATCTACCCAAGCTTGAGCCTACAGCGTATGCGTACGACTACTCAGAGACAAGGTCGGTTCCAGAAGAGCTGGAGGAATGGTTTTCCTACACAGAGGAAGAGAGATACATGCTGTTACGGGCAAAGCAAACATTTGATGAGAAATGGGAACAAGCGCAGGCCGAACAACCAGTATCATCAGACAAAGCACTACAGTGGCAGGATGTGAGTGTAGAAGACCGGGAGAGCTTTATGGTTGGGGCTATAGAAGCGTTGCAGAGTCCGGAAATCTCATCTCGGGTCAAAGGTCTGGAGTGCTTATCTTACGTGGCTCTTGGGGTTTGGGGAGATACGGCTGGGGTTGAAAAAGATGACCAAGTATCTCATCTTACGGCCGCCGACAACAAATGGATGGATTCTTCAAACACCAAACCAAAGCTGCAGCTGGAATGGATCAATAATGGCACACGAATGCTCTGCGAGCTCGACGCCGTTCAGAGGCTGCTCGATGTGTTAATAAAGCTATGGGAAAGCGAACAGTCAGTCAGTCCGCTGCTCTTTACCCAACCTCTTCATGATATAGACACGTACTAAATCGTTTGAGCCTAGAGATGTCGAGATGTCGGAAGATGGGTCACCGTCCCAGGATGAGAAACTTGCTTCGTGGAGATTTCTCAGGCAAATTGAGGTCAATCAGACGCTTACAGCGCTGTACCTGATCATCGAAACCGGCAGATGGCAACGCTCAAAAGGCAATGATGGATCCATGCGAGAGGCTGTTGGTCCGTTCAGATCAACGTTATGTTCGCGCCTTTCAGCAGCTGACGCTCATGACTATAGCTAGCCTCGGACCTTCCATATTGACGGTCTTGACAAAGATGATCGCCAAGTTGCGCTGGGAAGAAACTTCATATATCCCTCTCCCTAGGGTACGATCCTGGCGCTCAACATTCCAGGATGATATGCTGACCTGAAAGCTGAAAGATCGTTCTCCTGTTCTGGAAAACAATTCTCCTAGTCTTCGGCAACATGAAGGAACTAGATGAAAGCAAAGTCGCACTACGTCAAGATACGGATATCAGCGAAAACGAGCACGATCCGAGCTTCATTACAACTTCCCCGCTCGACTATCATCTATTTCGTCAAGAGATCACATCGAAATATCCAGCCTACTGCCCTCCTCCGCCTCTAGTCCCGATCGAGGAAGAGAACAACTCAATATTACCGCCCTTACCCAATCACCCTAGTCGACAAGCCAGCCAAGAGAACCTACGAATGGCAGCAGGCGCAACCGCCAACGGCGCTGGTAGATCGATATTCCATCAACCTGTACATATCGCGACGCCTGCGCCTTCGCCACCCCCTTCTCCAGCTGGGCCAGGAGGCAAAGGTGGGAAGAAACAAAACTACCAAACGAACCAAAATTTCCCTTTCTTGTATCCTCCTTTGGACGGCACGAGTAACACAGTTGGTGGCAAGGGTAATGCTGAGTTGCAAGATCAGCTTGTTGGCAAGCGGTGGGAAGGAAGTGATATACCAGCTTCCATATTGGAAGCTGGGCAGTTGTTCGCCAGCCGCATGAGGATGTCGAGGTCGATTCGTCAACTGTGGGACGTACGAGAGAAATTCATAAAGTACGAAAGAGGTTGGAATCGGTCCAAGGACGATTACGATTCACTGCATGAGGACTCAGAATTCGAGAGTGACGACGATGACGCAGAGTGTGAAGCTCAAGGGCCGAGTGCTCGTTCAAAGGACGAGGAGCCCAAGCGGGAGAAGGAGACGGATAATGAAGAGGTGCAAAGAAGATTGGACGCTATCAATAGCTTTTATGTACGTACTATATGTATTGAAGAATCTCCATCGCTGATGTCTGTCCCAGCGTGACAATTTACCGCACCTGCAGTCTATAGTGGTTGTTTTCTGGAAACTTGTCTTCAGCCACGTATCACATTTGGTCGCTCAAAATGGTCGAGACGGATTGCAGAACGGAATGTCTTTCCCTGACGACGGTTCAAACGAAGCTCAAGGCAAGAGGAGAGCGAACACCAATTCCTCGGGCAACATAAGTGGTATGGCGAACGGTCAGCTTGCGGAAAATGAGGATGTCACCGATCCCGTTGTCGAAGAGCTGAATGCGTTGAGGTCTAGAGAAATAACAACGAAGGCTGTGTCTGGTATCCTGCTGATACTCTTGAAATGGTTCAAGCTGTCCCGTGAGTGTCTTGAAGTACCTATTTGTATGTTGCAGAGGTTTTAATGACCGTTGCCAAGACATACTCAAATACGAATACATGACCCAGCTTCTGCTAGACGCAAACTACTTGCCACTGGTCCTCAAGCTCTTCGCTCATCAAGACGTTGACAGAGCGGTCGACCAGAAAAATGACCGCGAAGATCTCGAGTACGTTGACAATTGCAACTACGCCTACATTAGCTGACCAACCTCCAGCTTCTTCTATTTCTGCCACCTCAATTCTAAACACCCTCCAGTATCTCCACCGCAACCCGCCCTCTCACCTTCTACCTCCAGCGACGACGAAGCCGCCCCTCCACCAATTCTCAAGCATCGCCGCAGCCTTTCTGAAACTCCACCGCCAACCCCACCGCGACCAGCCGCTCGCCCCGAAGTAGACGAACTCGGCTACCCTACCTCTGGCGCCCTACCGCAAACACCCCTAACGAACTACGCGCCTCGCTTCTTCCTCACCAACATCAACCTCCTCCGTCTGCTTCAGAAAATTACCAAGCGCAAAGCCCATCGCGCATTGTTGCTTGTACAGTACAAATCTAGTACCATATTGCGCAAAGCGCTTAAGATACCCCAACCAGACCTCCGTCTTTACACCCTCAAATTATTCAAATCGCAAACACCGTACTGCGGTAGAAAATGGCGACAGACCAACATGCGTGTCATCACTGCCATATACCTACACTGTAGGCCTGAGTTGCGCGATGAGTGGTTATGCGGTGGGGATGTGGACGGCGTGGTCGAGGAAGCGGTGCCATTGGAGCAGGCGGGGAGGAGTCTGGTTCATTGGTGGCACTTGAGGGAGTTTAGGGGGGTCATGGAGGGGAATGGAGAGGGCAAGGGTGGTGAGGACGGCAAGGAGGGCAAAGAGGAATACAATTTCTTCGCACGAGAATTGGAGAAGATGGGCTGGGGTCTCGGCGGAGTGGGAGCTGCCGAGGAAGAAGAGCACGCTGCTGGGGGAGAAGGGGCGGGCGGTGTTGCAGTCGGGACGGAGTTCGAAGGTGGGCCGTTGGCGATGGAGGGATGGGCGTGATGTCCCGGCTTCCCTGAGATGTTTGTTCATTGATTGCGCAATGGAGCTCGAGAACAGAGAGAAATCCGACGCTATTATGTCGACGAGTGATCGATGTCTTCCTAGACTTTCGCACGTTTGTCAGACGGCTTCTGCTATGGAAAACGTGTCTACCCGGAAGCAGAGGCCTTTTTCTTCCCTACCATCCTTCCTCCATCTTCTCCCTTCCAAGCCAGCACTGCTCTCCCATTGCCCTCACCTCTCACCCTGACATCCCCTCCCTTGACCTCCACCACCTCCCCTCCTTCCTCCGCACCTGCAGCGGGCCAATCCCTCCAAATCTCACACCCATCCCAAACCCCTCTTCCCTTCTCCACCACCATTTCCCCCACCCTCACAGCTTGCTCCATATCCGCCACCTCAACCAGCAGCACCCGCGCGGAGACTCGCTCTGCGAGATCCAGCAGGCGCGGGTAGAACCTATCGCCGGTATCTGCGTAGGATTCCGGGTTGCCAGCGATGGGATCAGCGGACGACGGCACAAGCGCGCTTTTGGGCTCGTAGTTGCGCACGGAGCGGGATGTGGTGGCATTGAAGGAGGAGGGAGAGATGTAGGGTGGGTTCGAGATTAGGATGTCCCATTTAGATTCACACCATGGTTTTGCCCCCGCGGCGAATATATCGCCGTGGGTAAAGGAGATTTGCTCCCTGGCGTTTGCTCGGAGCTGGCTCTTGGTGATGTTGTGGGAGAGGTTCTTGGCTGCGAGAGTTAGAGCTGCGGGGGAGATGTCGACTCCATGGAGGTGGAGAGATGGGGTGCGTGGGGCGAGGAGAGAGTGCAGGAGGAGCGGTATGCAGCCTGTGCCCGTGCAGAGATCGAGGATGCGGAGGGGATGTTGGGGGCGAGAGGGGGGCGAGAGGAGGAGGGAGGCGAGGTGGGTGGTTATGTTTTCTGTTTCTGGTCTGCGGAGAGGAAGATATGTCAGTCAGTACTCATGCCCGCCCGAGTAAGTATGAGAGAGAATGGTAGGTAGGTAGGTAGATCGACCTCGGTATCAAAACACCCCTCCTACACAGTATCTCCAGCTCCCCGAATGGCTGGGATCCGAGGATATATTGCAGTGGCTTCCCTCTCGCCCGTGAGCGACACATCTGGTACAGATGCTGCGGCCATGATGTCTTAATGCTGCCAGAACTTGTCAGAGTGACCTCTCGATTAGCTATGGCATGTTCGCGCAACCAGCGCAGCTCATTGCGCGCGGAGGAGAGATCGCGACATGGGCGCAGGAGAAGAGGAAGGAGTGGATGTAGCGCGCGAGCGCGGAGTATAATGGAGGTAGGGAGACGGGGCATTCATGGTTTGCTGGTTGTGAAGCGCGGCTGAAGGTTGGGATTGATGAGAGCTTTGATGCAGAGTGCCAAGACTGACATGCTTGGCTTTTTTGCGGACTGAGGGTTAAGCGAAAATGCTTGGGATCATAATAGGTTTTGGCACGCTAACAGGGGATTGTCGAAACGTTGCCGTGGTGAGCTAACAGTTGTACCCAAACAATGACATCTACAGAGGGTTAAGTATTCATTTCGTACTGAAATTTCGGATAAGATGGGCAGTGCTATGGTTTGTGTGTCTGGGTGAGCTCATGGACGTCAGTGTTCCTGGCACGCACTCGATTCTTGAGATTCTGTAGGGAGGGTGATATTAAAAGTCCTGCACATGCGCTAAATCTCTTGGCATGCTTGGTATTTTGATAAATCTGACCTTTTTCTTAAATAGCTTTATTTTTCTAGTGATAATACTTTATATAGCTACGTATATACTCATTTACTCGCTTCATAAAGTTATAAAACCGTATATTACCTTTCTTACGACTTTTTCTATACTCATTACCGCTCTTAAGACGAATAACCTTCGTAATATATCTTAATATTCGCTCTATTTACTTCTAAATCCTCTTTTATATAAGCTCGTAATTTCAATAATATAGTTATCGTTTCTCGATATCTTTATAAGTTCTTAATATATCTTTTTAAATAGTTTAACGCTTTATCTATAGCTAATAAGACTTAATTATATTAAGATTCGAAGAGTTATCGTATTAGACTATTCGAATAATATTTATTAATATATAAATTACTTTCTAATACTTTAATATATAGACTAAAATCTTATTTTTCATAACTATTATATTAAGTCGCTCTCATTTATACTTTTAAGCGAATTTTAGAAGCTTTAAAATAAGAATCTATATTTAATAAGAAGGAGAAGTATAAGAAATATAAGCGTATATATCTTTTTCTAATAGCGATATTAATTAATTCCCCTCTTCTTTTCTTTAATAATAACTTTTTTAATCTTAGTAATAAACTTTTATTTAGATTTCTTACTAAAAAGATTTCATAAACTTATTTATTATATATTAATCTTAAGTTCTTAAGCTTTTTTAACTTTAGCTTTTAGAGTATTATTAATTTTAGCGAAATTCGCGATATATTCTTTCTTTTCAGCTATAATTTCGACTTTCTAAATATAATATAATCTCTTCTTATTATATAAGAAATAACTCTAGAATATAAACTTTATAGTATCTACGAAATAACGTTATATAGTAGATTTAATAAAGATTTTATTAGATTACCGCCATATATATACTTTTCTTCGTCGAGAATTTAAGATTACACTAATTTCATTACTCTAAATTATCTTTTTTTACTTCTCTATAATTAGTATATATAAAAGAATAAGATAGAGCTAAGCTTGAAAATCTTAAATTTATATATACAGTTAATTATAAATTCGAGTTCTATACGCTTTTTAATTAGATCGACTAAATTAGCTCGATAATCCTTCCGCGTCTTTCTTATTAAAAATTTATATATAAAAGTTTTATACTTTCAAGTACTTAGCTTACGATATATATAATTACTTTATAATTCCTTAAATTATAAAACTCGCTTTATACTTTCTAACGCTATAAAAATTATAAAGTTTAATTTACTATTAATAAATTAAATGAATATTTAAATATAATAGTTATAATAGTTATATTAGACGCGTCCGAGATCGAATAATAATCCTTTCATCTATTTATATAATTATTATTCTTCTATTACTCTATTAATTCTATTAATTTTACTAATATAAATATAATTATCTTATATTTTAAGTATATATACCTCTTTTACTCGCCTCTTAAAGTCTCTATTAACGCCCTTAAACTATTTCTTAGCGAATTCGCTACTATTAATAATCGAGGCCGTAAGCGAGTTTAATAGCTATCTACTATTACTTATAAACGCATTAGAAGACTCTTTAAAAGAGCTCGAATAGATATATTCTCCTCTATATACTTCTCTTAAGCTAGCGATAAATAAGTTAAACTAATATTTAAATATTATAATTATATTAAACGCGTTCGATTTAGATATATATACTTCTTTTTTCTATCTTTTAGAGTCTTTACTAACGCCTCTAGACTAACTTTAAACGAATTTATTATTATTAATAATTAAGGCCGTAAGCGAGCTTAATAGCTATCTACTACTACTTATAAACGCGTTAGAAAATCTTTAAAAAGAGCTTAAATAAATATATTCTTCTCTATATACTTCTCTTAAGTTAGCGATATATAAATTAAACTAATATTTAAATATTATAATTATATTAAACGCGTTTAGAATTAAATAATAATTCTTTTATCTATTTATATAACTATTATTCTTTTATTACTTTATTAATTCTATTAATTTTATTAATATAAATATATTTACTCTTAATACTCTTATACTTAATTAAATAAGAGAAGAATCTATAATAGACGAATATAAAGAATACTACGAAGAATATTACGAAGATAATTATTAGTAGTAATAATATAATAGATCTACTCTTTACGATCTTATATTAATTTACTTAGTTAATATAAGAGAAATTAATATAGTAGACGAATATAAAGAATACTACGAAGAAATTAAGTAGTAATAAAACTTCTAATATTAAGAATATAACTCAGCTCTTTAAGATCCCATATTATATACTCTCTATAATTTTATATTAAATTATTACTTAGTAAGCGAAGAATATTACTATAACTTAGTTTATTATCTTTACTATATTAAAAAGTAAGAGAAGAAACTATAATAGATAAATACGAAGAATATTGCGAAGAATACTATCCGATAAACGCCGAGAGGCAATAAATTGTTCTCTCCGCACCATTATTTCGATTACTACCCCACCACATCAATATAATTTAATAAATATAGTCTAGATCTATTACATAGAGTCCAATATATTATTCCTTTTATAAAATCGTCTTACGCAATCCCCCTTGCGATATAAAAAGACCTGATATACTTTACATTCCCCGCGTGTCTTAAGAGTATTATCCCTATTCCCACTAATCTCTCGCTCAAAACCTCGATTTTGAATATCCTTATAATATATAAAGCACGCCCGAATAGCCTTTAAGTCTTGCGAATCATGGTTACCTCGTAGTGCCTTTGATAATGTAGAGATAGGGGGAGGATTTATTGAAGCCACAGGTGTAATTCCATTAGTCCTCCAGTAATTATGAATAGTAGAAAAGTGAAAGATTCTCATATAGATTAAAGATTCTAAGCTCTGATATAGTTATAGAGTATCAATAAGAATCGCGAGAACTTTAGGCAGAGGCATACAAATTGGTTATTATCTCGAAGCATTTCTCAGATAGTAGTAGTTTATATAAGGCTAAATATAGTACGTGAAGTAAGAAATAGGTTACTTAAGAGATGACTGATAGTTGCTCGATACTCAATTATTATTAGTTAATACTCGGGAAGTGATGAAATACGCTGGAGAAGATTGTCACGTTTTTCAGAAAATGCCTGTCTCTCACTGGTTTTCGTGGCTTTTTTTTGCTGCTTTCAGGCCTGATCTAATTCGTTCTTATTATGAGCAGGTAGGGTAGCAATTTAAGGCATATTGAACTATTAGTAGTGGAGTTATTTAATAATTAAAATAAGGAAGTAATTGAATATGGGGGAAGAATCTCGGTTAAATTTGTTGCCTCGGCGTCGGCGTTTATCGAATAGAGAATACTACGAAGGAACTAAGCGGTAATAAGACTATTATCATTAGAAAAACGACTTAGCTCTTTAAGATCTCACGTTATATACTCTCTATGATTCCATATTAAATTATTACTTAGTAAGCGGAGAATATTATTATAACTTAGTTTATTATTCTTATTATATTAATATAATATATTACTATAATAACGTTATAAGAGAAGAATCTATTACGATAATTATAGTTAATTAGATCTCTATAGAAGAAATATTAAACGATATATATTTAGATGAATTAAAATCGTTCGATATTTTACTCTAATAGCTATTTTATTATTCGAAAGATTTTATTATAATAGAAGATATTGTGGGATTTACACCACTAATTAGTATATTATCTTCATTTCTTTTCGATATTTCGATACTTCTTATTATAAGAATATAGTCTTTCTCTATTTTTTATAGATAATTATTATAAATTAATTCTTTATACTTAATATATCTTTCTAATTAAGCCTTAGCGCGCCTCTCTCTATATATATATATTTATATATAGATTAAAAACGTATAGTAAGCGATCAGAGTTTGATTTAACTTAGGGCTAGGGCTAAAATTCGATTTAACTTAGAAAAATCCAACTCCATAAATTTAATTCATAGGCCTTTTGTTAAGGAATCATTATGGTTTGAATCATATATGTGTGTGTAGTAAAAGATGTTGATTATCTATGTGGTCTGCAGGGCAGATATGTGCGGTGCCAAGCCTACGCTAGTGGCCCTATGAGTATCCCTGAGGCATCTCATGACAATTGCCCACAAAAAACAGAGAAATGCCATGTCCTCATGGCAAGAAGTATGCATGCATGATTTTTCGAATGTCGGAAAGGAGTGGAGATGCCGGGCCAATTAGTAGTGTGTATCCCACGAAATCTCCTGCCGCAGTGAAAGCTTTTGAATAATGAATGGCTGTCGAAACAAGACATCGGACGGTTTCAATTCGTCCAAATATGCATCGTCCGATATCCTCCTGCAGGGGCCCAATTGCCATGGCCATAGTGATTTGGCTGTGACCGTCGCAGTAGATCCTTCTCTTGTGTGCTCATTGCAGTGATGTACCATATCAATGCAGTGGGGATGATAGGCCAAATTGTAGTGTCGTTCTCCGCTTGCTGAGTGGCGATTTGACGTGGGATTGTGGAGAGGTGAGCCGTGTTCTTGACGATGGTGGCCTTGTTGTCGCTTGGTTTCTCCGCAGTATTCTCCATAGTCTTCTCCGCAGTCTTCTCCGCATTTGCCTGTTGTAGTTCCTCCTCTTGCTCAACTGAGTGCTCTTGCTGAGTGGCTAACTGAGTGGATTGGTGAGCTGGCTGAGTGGCTTGTAGGGACCTTCTCTTGTATTGCTGGCGTCGAGTCTTCTGATTCCGGTCCTTCTTTTTCTGCTGTGTTGCACGTACAAATGGACACTTCGGTGATCGAGTAGCGTGGAAATCAAATGGATTGTCACTATCCCAGTCACAAGGATCAAGATCGTATAGTGAGCACACCGTTAGATCCGGGGATGGAAAAGTAGGGTCGAATTCTCGATGAAAGCCAGCACGGGCTACGTCAGAGGCACTTGGATATACGTGTGGCCATGACGTGAATGAGGCAAGTCTTGCAGCGTATGAGTTCATTGTGATATCGACAGGCCTATTGAAAGGATCGATTGGGACGTGGGTTGTTGTTAAAAGGTACTCGATGATAGCGAGTGTGTTGGAGGTCCGGCTTGGAGCGTCACACTATTAGGTGTTGATGTGGGCTTTGCGTAAACGTCTGGAAAGACGCCTGGATGTCCTATGAAGTAGGGCCAGGTGTTGCTACCAATTGTTAAGGAATCATTATGGTTTGAATCATATATGTGTGTGTAGTAAAAGATGTTGATTATCTATGTGCCTGCAGGGCAGATATGTGCGGTGCCAAGCCTACGCTAGTGGCCCTATGAGTATCCCTGAGGCATCTCATGACACCTTTACTTATTTAGTCTTAATATCGTAAAGCGAATTAATATTAAGCTTTTATTATAGCTTCCGTAAGAGAGAGTTTTTTAATAGTCTTATAGGGCCGGAAATTGTTTCGTTTAAGTATACGTAGAATTATTATTAACGAGAGTTCTTATTTAATAGCTAATATAAATAAGATTTTCTTATAATTATAGCGATCTCTTCGTATAGCGATTATAATAATACTCTTAATCTCGAGAGTAATAATTAAAAGTTATCTAGATCTTAATATATTACTCACATATAATAGTAGTAATTTCTAAGACTTACTAAAATTAAATTCTCTATTATAGACTTATTTTTATAGATAATTAATAGTAAAGCGGGAGATCTTAGTAATAGTAGTAATAATTTTAGTTATAATGTTAGCTTCGATTAAAGCAAGTATCTAAAGTCTAATATCGTTATTATAATTAATAGCTTAAGCTTTATTTATAAATATTTTAATATAGAGAATATAGAGAGAATTACTTTTTATAGCTATATTAAGAACTTTATATATAATATAAAATCTTAAGATTCTCCCTCTTTTCTTATAAACTAGTACGTTTAGTATTAACGTCGTAATTCGATAAATATACTCTTTATATATAGCTATAATATCGCTATAACGCGTATATACTTCGTATATATATACTTTATATATATATATCTTATATATATAGTATTAATATCGCTATTAAGTAAAAAATAGTAATATTAAGAATATTTAAAATATTTAGAATATTTATTAAGTATGCCAAGAGATTTAGCGCATATGCAGGACTTTTGGTGTTATCCTCTGTAGAACATTTACTGTTGTGCTAAAGGCCCTTTGCGTAACCGATGGCCTAATAGCACGATCAACCAGCAGACGAACGACCCAGCATCGGCCTAGACATCTTCCTAGAAGCATCTGTGGAGATAGTCATATCTTAGGGCAATTCTAGTCTATCAGGAATTAGATACATCATCGTACGGCGGTACAATCCCATTCCCAATTCTTGGTCTCTTTATAGAAGCCTCCCAACCTTGACGTCAGCAACAAGAAAACCTTGTTAAATTCTCTAAATCTCCGCTGTTCCAGCATATATGCAGGCGCCTGTGCTAGAGCCCTCATAAGGGACTCCCACCCGAAGTTTGGGGGACACCGTACGTGTCCCGTGTTGAAAGGACAAGCTTCGCAGCGTTGATTGTCGTTATGCCGGGTACAACTTGATCGGTCCGTCTGAACGGGCCTAGTTTGCGTAAGGTGTCGAGGGCCATGTCGAAGATGTCGTAGATTGTTATCACTGATCTGGTCAGTTGAAAGGCAACCCGTAGGTGCGGGTCATTTGTAGCGTTGACGGTGTCGAGAGAGGTATTGATATCTGTGAAGGCTTGGAAAAGACCCTTGGTGGTGTTGGAAAGCGACGGAGTTTGAATGACACTCTGCGTCGCGTTCGTGATGTTGGAGAATATGGAGGTTGGTGCCTCCGTCACCTTGTACGTAATATGGCTGACTGTACGCCCTCAATGCTCGAGAACGATTACTCTAGTTCGGAAGTCAAGATATTATATCATGTCGTCCGTATACCAGGTTTCGGTGTCAGCATTGGCCATCGAAGATGAGTGGTGAGTTGCAACATCCTTCCAGGAAGCGCACAAGGAGCTGAACTTGCCAATGCATCGCCTGTTGCTTGGATTTTTTGTGTCAAATTAAAAAGCAGGATTGTGAAATGACATGGCTACAAGAATACTGAGACCCCAAACAGCATGTTCCCGCGGTATGCTCCCACCTTCTTCGACTGGTGTGACTGCAATTTTGACTCGATTGTGGCTGTCAAGCCTGTAGACTGTTTCAAACATGGGCCCTTGAAAATCTTCTAATGCTAGCTGGAGCGCGACGTTTACAGAATGCAAAAGGCATAGGTTAGGCCGAAGCTTTGGTCCATCGAAACTCGATACATAACCGAAAGCTCGGCCCAAGAAGGGGTGTACCTGGGCTGGCGAAGTCGGACGCGTCTAGTGCCTTGGTGGTTGAAGAGTCGAGGTTGAGACACGGGTCAGGTATATTGATAGCAGATACATGATTCAGAAGCATGTCGATCCACGCGAAGATAAACGAAAGCAAAGTGGATACAGTCCATCTACATTCTGAAGAGTCAATTACTAATGGCTCAGCAGTAGGCTCAAGATGAAAGATCAGCATTCGCAAAGAGAGAAGCTGGCTTTTTCTAAGTTTGCGCCTAATCAGCGCTTGCGCAAATGCGTGTGCGAGAAATCGAGAACACGGAGCACGACTTGAACTTTTTGCTTTTGCGGCTAGATTGACACATGTTCAAGCAAAGGTTTGCTTTATGACTTGGCCAGAGGTTCTGGTCACAGTGGGGACCATTGCAAACAGCTGGTGATTCGGCCTAAGTGTGGATATGCTTGGACAGGAATCATCTGGAGACCTCCATTCATCTTCATCTCCTTGGCGTCGAAGACCATCTCGCCTTACACTGAATTCAAGCTACCATCGGACTGTGGCTATTAATGACCTAGGCAGCGTAGGATCTGTGAGACCTGCACAGACTCCTCATAAAGATTGTCTTGCCAGATCGCATTACCACATTCTGTTGGCTTAGCGCCATGGTGCCAAGATTTAACCCTGATGCGGCCTAGCTCAGCCTTACACAAGATCTCATAATGAACACTTAGAGATCGTCCAACAATTTCTATACTGCGAAGTGCACTTCCGACCTCCACTCGTCATGGATCTAGTAGCAGGGGTTCGGAAAGAAGGCAGCCGCGGTGGTCGCGGTGAATTCAAATGGGAAGATGTCCGGGACTCACAACACAGAGAGAATTACCTCGGTCACAGTCTCATGGCTCGTACGTCTCCTCCATGCTTACTCTTCCCCGTATTACCTGCAGCTAACACCCCCCAGCCGTCGGCCGCTGGCAAAAGAACAAAGATCTAAACTGGTACGCCAAAGGGGACACGTCCGCCGCCGCCCTCTCCGCCGCCGAAGCCCGCAAAGAGGAAATACGACGGATCAAGGAGGCCGAAGAAAGTGCTCTCAGTGAAGCGCTTGGCTATGGGCCTACTATACGAAGTAATGCGAATGAGACACCCATTGGGCGGAAGGAGGTTGAGAAAGCGATCAAGGAGACTGCGGAGGGTGATGACGAGGAGGGTGCTAAGGGTGTGGGATTTGGGGCCTTTCTTGGAGGGGCACCGGTGGAGGAAGAAAGAGATGTGCTGCGTGGTGAAGGGCTGGATAGACCTGCCAGCAAGGTCGTGATAGAAAGAAGGAGAGACGGCGATAGTAGGAAGGAGAAAAGGAGAAGAAGCAAAAGCCGAGACAGGAGTAGCGAGAGGAGACATAGGAGGCATACCTATGGCGAGGAGAGGTCGCATCGGAGGCACCGATCGAGGGATAGATCACATCGCCGACAGACGGATAGGTCGAGAGAGAGGTATTCGCATGGAAGGGAGCGGTCGAGGAGCTACGAGAGGAGAAGAGATAAGGATCGGCAACCACGCCGGCCACGGGAGCGGAGTTACTCCCCAGACCCACCTAGACGGAGGCAGGATTCGCGAGATAGGGATTACGACTACAGAAGATGATGAAGAATAGATCTGACGACTGCAAATGATTCTAACCTCGAGCTCTTTGGAGATTCATACTCAGCAAAAGTCGACTTGGGAAATTCGAATCCTCAGGCAACCACAGTGATACCTGTCCCACTTGACTCGTAGAAAGTAGGACAGCCGCTGTTTCTTACCTTTGGTTAGCGGATGCCAAGTAGGCTAATTTCTTCCTATTACAACTGCTTTTCTAATGCTGAGAGCCAGACTAGTCTGCCATTGAGCTGCGTGTGACTGTGTGTGTCTGCTAATCCCTAGGAAAGGACCACGATCGCACCTATCCTTGGGCTTGTAAAGAAAGGCGCCGCTGTCTCTTCTCGCCGCTGGTCAACCACAGACGTCTTGACTGACCTAGCGCTGCTGCCATCTTCGTCGCCCATTTCACGGTTCCCAATAACTCCTTCTCTTCAGGCTCTCAAAACAAAGTGGTCGAGCTACGACCTATGATGGAGTAGAGACGAGAATTACGTCAAATTAACCACCCAGCTTCACGACGCACCCTGGTCGGGATATGGCACACGCTGATTGATAGCCGAATCTGTCGCCCAGAGGAATATACCTAGCGCGCTATCGTCTGCAGGCGCGAAACGGGTACTCAATCAGCAACAGTTTAAAGCTGCAACGCGGATAATTTGACAAGGAAAAGACATCGCTTGCTTACCGTACGCCGTCCACCCCAATTCCGACCTCCGAACCTGACAAGCCTCCGAAAGCAACCGCACATACTCCGAAACCGCCCGCCAGGTCGCAATCACCCCCATGGTGCCTCCGCCAGAGATGTCAGGCTTCGAGGGTACGTCGCCGACGTCTAAGAGGCTTACGATCGCTAGCACGCACGTACCTGACTCCCGCGCAACGTCAGCCCCGATGCATCACCACCCCATGACTGGGATATAGAACAGCGCACCACCCACTCACCGGAAGTATACCGCTTGGGAGTCCAAACCGGCGTACCGTACCCTGGCACCGTGTGCGGAAACCCTAGAGACAGCCATTGCGCTCGCCCTGGGTTTCGAGCGACGTCTTGTTCGAACGCGCGGATTGCGCGGTCGCAGTCGTCGATCTTGTAGGTGGGGGAGCCGGGACGTCCGCCTGTCCAGGAGGGAAGACTGGTGCATTGGTATTCGTGAGGGTGGTTGTGAGATGCGTTGAGAGTGGACGGCGCGGGGAGGAGGTTCAGGGATGCTGCTGCTGCTGCGGTGCCTAAGCGCATGGTAAGGGCTGTGAAAAGGAGGAGTCGAGAACGCGTTTTGCGTTGACGGGGAGTCATTCTGGATTTTGTTTTTCTTCGCTAAAGCTTGAGGGCGAGCGAAAAGGGAGATAACATTACTGGAGATGGGACCATTATGCTTATACTACGCTTCGTTTTGCACGGACCCTAGCGCCTGGAAGGCTGTTCAGTTCACGGATCACATCATGCCTCCGCATAATACACTAGGTTTGCTGGTCGCCAATCGCCAGTCGTATGTAACAACAGTACATGTGGCTAGGTATTCTATCCTGCCTCGTCCTGAACTTCATGAACCGTAAGGCATATTTCAATGTCATCTTCATTCGGTCACTGGAAATTGTGCGATGAAGCAAACCGGACAAACAATACACTTGAACATAGGTAGTCTCAATCTCATTCTCTCCGCAGTGTCTCGCGGGCCGTTACTTCGTTATCCCAATGCCGTCAGACTTCCGCAAAACGCCAAAAACGACCAACCCACCTTCCCCCAACCATCTCTACAACACCAACCGCCGAAATACAAGACATTGGCACCTCGCGCCCACGCTGAACTGCGTCCGATGGTGAGTCTTACCTCCCCCATCACCCGGAAAGAAGAAAAAATTCGAACGCCCCCCCAACTCCCTCCCTCCAGCACGTAGCTCACCCCCATCCATCCATCCTTCACTCACCAACCCCTCTCCTCGCCAAAAACCCCCCTGAACCCCTTATCAACGGCCTCGGAGAACGACAACCCCATCCTCTCCTTCCTCCCCTTCTTCTTCTCCGCAGCCCCCTTACCCCGCTGTCTTGCAACCACATCAACGGCGGCTTCGATCACCGCCCTCTTCTTACCACCGCGGCACCGTGTCATGGCGCCGATGGCGGCTTTGAACACGTTGGTCTTTCTGCCGTGGTGCGTCACGGCGATCAGAGTCGGGGCGTTGGGCTGGGGTTTCGTTGCGATGGTGCGCTGGTCCTGGTCGGAGTGGAGGGCGGTGCTGAGGTTGCGGGCGAAGGCGAGGTCGGTGCGTGTGGGGGGGTTGGAGTGTAGGGCGGTGGTGAAGGTGATGGGGGGTGGGGGTGGGGTGTGAATCGCGGTGGTCGTGGGCACGTGTACTTTTGCGCGCGGGGTGTCGGTCGGGAGGGATGGTTTTGTGATGGCGGTTTCACAGGCGTCGAGTTCGGCGATCTGGATCGTGGACGCTGTTGGTGGGGATGGGTGTGTAGTTGCGGCGGTGTTGGATGTTTTGGTAGGCGAGGATGTCTCTGTTGTGGGTGGTGTGAGTGATGATAGTAGCGTGTCGACCGAGTCGATCATCTCGTCGAAGCTGTTCGGCTCGACGACGGCAATCTTCTTCTGCGTCTGCTTGTGCATCTTGCTCTTCTTCTTCTTCTGCAGCTTCTGGCATTCATCTGCCCACTTCTGAAACTCTTGCTCCATGAACTCTACCTCCTTGAAATCCAGCTTCTTGCGCTGATTTCGAAGCTTCTTCTGCTCCTCGTGATCTGCAGCATCTGCCATCTGTTTCAGACTTAGATATACCATGTCTGCGGGAAGCAGGCGGCAGTGTCTCTTTCTCTCTTTGGGGACGTTGATGAGAGAGTGCGATGGGAGGAGGGGGAGGGGCCAGTCGGGCCGTGGGGCCGTGGAGGTCGCAATGAAGCGATCCATGGCGACAGGGGTGTGTGAGGGTTGCTTTTTCCGGAAAAGCAAAGGGGAGATGAGGATGCTGGACTGGGTGCTTGGTCGGATAGGGTACCTACCTGTGACTCCGAAGAAAGTGGATGCTCGAGTTGAGAGAAATGGGCTGTAGCACAGGCTTCTTGTATCCACTTGAGATGTGTGTTAAAGATCAAAGTTTCATGAGGGTCACAAAGACGGTTGACAATAGGGTTGTGTTGCGCTCAAGGATTACAATGGCGGTTTTGTTGCCTGGAGAGAAAACCTTTGACGACACAATGACTTTGCGATCCAACAAGGAAAGAACCACAAGGACACTGGACATAGGAACTACGATGTCCCAAGCTGGGTTTTTTGCGCGGACGAGCAAAGATTGGGCATAAATGAAGAGCATCAAGTCCAAAACAATACTTATTCGTCTAAAAAAGCGCACCACGAAAAAGTCTGAGAACAGGAGGTTGTTCATCGATGCTCGAACTTTTAATCTTTTTCAGACCTTTGATCCTCATCACTGCGTTCTTCCCTGGTAGTGTGCCGAGCTTGCAGTTGTAAATGTACTGTCAACGCTCATACGGGCCGATCCCTCCCGTGAAGCAGAAGAAAAGATTTCCAAGCAGAATCGCTATCAAATTGCGAGACCTATGCCTTTCTATGACATCGCGACTTCGCAAATAGGGGTGGAATTTCCTTTCTCCGTTGTTGCTCCACGATGCGAAAGTGCGCAAGCGTCCTCCTGTAACCAACGCGCGGTTATCGACGCGCAAAATCATGTGAATGTTTTGCGAACACTGCGCTCTGCTATCTCGTTCGGGAAGCGATTCAGCCCCGCGAGCGTGCACGCTGCCGCATGGGGCGCTGATGGGCGCACGCACCGGAGATTCTCGCAACATTCCGATTATGTTACATCATGAATGCTCACCGATCATTGCCCTATAGAGCCACTTACTTATTCAGGGCATTTTGTGTTTATTGCAATGCTATCCGCTTGACTGGAATATTTGTGCTTCCAGCTGATTATATTGCAGTATTTAGAAGAAATATATCCAGGGTTGTTGGGACAGTATAATCTTCGTTGCTGCCGCAGCATTGGGCTGGTTTACCTCTGGTCTGATCAACTTGACACACAACCCAGATACCGAGATCTGGAAAAAGCAGTAGCAGTTGCAAATACGTCAATAGGTTGCTATGTACCTCGTATGGCACTTTGGCTGCTCAAAACTATGTGACGTAGGAATATGAAGATCTGCCTATGACATGTGGCACAAAGACAATTAACGCTGTAGAAGTTCTCTGAAGATCATGAGATCGGACTGCGATACGAGGTTGAGAGCCAATGAAAGTCTCCGATTTCACCATCTGGCTAACCAAAGTCGAAGCGAAGGGCGACGGAATATTTGGTGTTGCCTAAGAGTCCGGCTCAAGGAGAGGACCGTGTTCTGCACCACGAACACTGAGAGGATTCCGCATCGTTGGCACGTCTGAGGTCCACCAATCAACGAAGATAACCCCGGCGAAGCCCCCTGCTCTGAAATTGATCTCAACGCACATCTCATACGCATGTGGAGCGGTAACTATGTATTCCGCAAGTCCATGCAGCACGAGATACAGGTCTGACCAGGTAAATTCCCTGAACAAAGCAGGCACTACGCTGATGGCGCCGAGGTGTCGGGGCTCATGATAGTAGTAGTAGCCGTCAGGAAGGTACACGTGTGGATGGAGTGCAGCGTTTGGTTTTATGGTAATGAGAACATTCTGGAGAAAGGTGGTCAATTGCCATGAAAGGAATTGACGATGGCCGAATGTCATAGCTAACTCCAGTGGTGAGTCGTAAATGGGATATGTGACGTTGGATCTTGGGAGGCATCTTATGTATTCTTCTGAGCCGTTTGAGAGGATATTCGCATTGCTGATTAGTTGTAAAGAAGGCGGAAGCGTGGCAGCTGATGTTAGAGTTGTGAAGAAGACTCGTAGCAGTATCGGGATGTAGGACCACATCTTGCGCATTGTATATCGGGGCTGTTGAGAGGAAAGCTATAGGTCAGTGAGTGAGCTTGGTGACGAAGGCTGTCAACGACAGTCTACCAAAATGGTGCCGGAGAGAACGTTGTTCAAGTGAGGGACATCATCCATGCGACCGCTTAATACATTACTCATCGCGATCCTGCGGAGAGCGCCAATGTGGTTGACAAGCCATATAGACCCGCCAATTGCCGTGGACTGACGAAGCGTTCGGAGGTATATGACTCCCAACCTTTAATTACCCGTTTTTAACTTTTGATCTGATGGAGAATTCAGCAGGGAGTATGGTTACTATTACGGGTTCGTCATGAGGCAGAGCCATAATAAACGCTTAGGTGTGGTCGTGGATTTGGACTTCTCTACTGCTTGACGCAGGAAGAGGGTAGGTTTTGTAGCTGATCCGGGAGTGGTGATTTTGGTCGCCCGTGCCCTAAAATTGTTGCCGATTGTTGGAAGCATCAGGGTTCGCAATAGCGGTTGGTATATCTGGATCCCGAGGAATTCAGGTGGAGTATCAGGCGGGAGTTGAATTTGATCCCTAAGATGACTTTAGAAGCGATCAGAAGTAGCAGAATTGCTGCAAATGCTTCCGACCGGTTGTTTGTAGAAAAAGATGGGTACGGAAGTAAGGTTAGTGTATACAACAGAACGGTCCAGTATAAAGATAAGGTAGGTAATTTACGGACTTCGGGGCGAAATCAAAGTCCGCTAGTCCTCTACTCTAGTTCGCTAGGCCAGTATTGGCACTAGCTCGTACTTAAATACCTGCTGCGCCGCTCGACAAACGGAAAATACGGAGAGCAATTGAATTCATGGCAAACCATAAGTACTTTATTTATATATATAGGAACGAATACCTTACTTTACCATATCCCCCAATCTCTCCCTACAACTACCATACTGTATAGTATAGAATAATACAAGACCAACGCCGTTTACTCTACTATCAGCCTAATTGAACCATCACCATGTTCTCACAACGAATCTTGAAATCTTCTGCTCCTCTCTTAGCTACCGCTGTCATCGGTGGAGGCCTTTACGCCGCTTCTCTTCAAAGTGCTTCCCAAACCCAATCGGCTGCTCCTCCTCCTCCGGCAGTAACAGACCGCATCGTGAAAACCTCTACACAACGTTCAAAAGAACCTGAGAAGATTTTTACTAGTGGCTTCTCCTTTCAAGATCTGAAATTACAGAGTTCAGAAGTCGTCAATCACAACACCAAAAGATTACGTTTTGAATTTCCGGACAAAGATGCAGTCGGCGGGTTACGCGCGTTATGTATGTCCAAAGGAAGCTCTTTGACAGCCGCCACCACTGATTCTTCATAGCTGCACTCCTAACAAAAGCCACTCCATCCGGTGCCTGGCTACCCGTTTTGCGGCCATACACCCCCATCAGTGACCCAGATGAGCCCGGCCACATCGACCTTCTCGTAAAGCGCTACCCAGACGGTAAAATGAGCAACCATCTCCACTCCCTGCTTCCAGGCCAAACGCTCTCCTTCAAAACCGGCCCGCTGCTCGCTTACGAATGGACGCCCAACAAGCACTCCCAAATCGCTCTCATCACCGGCGGTGCGGGTATCACCCCCATGTATCAGCTCACGCGCGCCATCCTCAAAAATCCCGAGGACCAGACGAAGGTCACCCTCGTCTTCGGCGTCAACGGCGACGCAGACGTGCTTTTTGAGCCCGAGTTTCGGGAATTGGAGCGCAAGTTCCCCGATCGTTTCAAGGCGGTGTACACGGTCAGCAGTCCGACGGCGAGCTCGCCGTTTCCGAAAGGTTATGTGACGAGAGAGCTGTTGAAGGCGCATATGCCCGGTCCGGAGGAGCGGGATATCAAGGTTTTGTTCTGCGGGCCGCCGGCTATGGAGAAGGCGATTGCGGGGTCGAAAGGGTTGCTGGGCAGTCAAGGCGGTGTGGGAGGGGTTTTGAAGGAGATGGGGTATTCTAGTGATCAAGTCTTCAAGCTTTAGTATTTTGATCAGTCTAATTGTCTGGCGCCCATCATGGCTCCCCAGGTCTGTCTAAAAACTACATTTCTTTTTTCCTCAACTTGTTCCTTATTCTGCCGCTGCACTTGACGAAACCTTATGGTCTGATTTCGGATGCTGGTGCGAACATATCCACGCACCCTACTTCCCCAAGGACAGCGATCGACGGAAAACCATTCCCCTTCGCAATTAAAAACACACTGTGTCAAGAGAAGTAGCCGAATCTATGAGCTTAATATCCCAGCACCGCCATAGTCGTATACATCTCTTTCTTTTTTCTGTTTCTTCTTGTAAGGCAGGTGCTCCAAGACACGTCCCCTGACACCTGGAGCCAGACATCAGAAAGGCTGCCGCGACGACATCTTTTTTTAGATTTTGTTTCAGATCCTTTCGAGGGGGTTCCTGCGTTGTTGAATTGGGGCACTATGCCCGAAGGAGCTGTCGTTGACGACTGAAGTTGCTGTCTAGTCTGGACATTAGATACGAGATAACGCCCTTGTTGATCGCATCGATGAGTGTTAAGGATCCGCACCGCTTCGGCTGCAACATTTTCCTTTCTTTTTCTTCTCTCTTTTTTTTGTCACCTCGCCCAGCCTTCGTTCCGGAAAGCAAGTGCGGTGCCAGGACACGAGATTTCAAATGGACCTGGCTTAGTGGCTGGATCTGTGGTCAAGATACAGGCAATTACTTATGTGGAGAAATATTACAGACTCGACGTTGAGACTGCTAATAATGCAACTCACCAGCTCTCTTCTCCATGTCCAGAAGCAAAACACTAGAAGTCAGTTCCGCATAAGCTACCTTCAGCTCTATTCCCTCGACCGTGTTGGATTTCAACAATCCCCCCTACGTGGCTTTCGTGCCAGAAGAGTCAGCGATGGCACCCATCTCCCCCCGTCCATAATACAGTTTGTCCATACCAATACACACGCTTCCATTTCGTAACACTACGCCCAATGTTCACTCTCAAGCAATATAATGATTGCCCGACCTAAAGCGCCAGCTTTCGATTACGTATACATTACCGCTCAAGTCTACCACCCTTCTCTGAAGAATTCGTCTGGCTGCGGATGAGCTCGAGGGTTTTCTACCTTCGAAGAAAGCATTGACTCCGTTAAAATACAAATCAACGAGTTCATACTGTCACGGATAGCCCTCTTCTGCGCTTGAACAAGTCTCGCAACAATGCTGCACTAAGGATGTCGGATGTATCAATATCCCGCAAAGGAACCGCACGATTTCCTCCGAATTCATGATCTCACGGAACCCTTACATGCAAGTCCTATTGAGACCCTTTCATTTTCTCCAGTACAGATCCAGTCCGTCCCCTCGCTACAAACATGCTTTTGCCAATAACATTCCTCTCCGCCCTCATCGCCCTGTCCACCACGCTCACCGTACCCACTTCGCCACACATCTACCGCGCAACGCAAAGTAACAGTTCCTCCTTCTCACCTCTCCCACTCCTCAAACCCTTACCCATCAAATCCGACCCCACAACATCACCAAACACCCTCAACCTCTACTCGCAAGCAAACACAACAACACCACCACCACCACCCACCATCGTCATCTGGCCCCAACTCCCCTTCACCACCGACACAGGCCGCCACCTCAACCTCACCATCGCGCGCCTCGGCCCCATCACCTCGCGCACGCGTCGCGGCGAACTCCTAAACGCCATCAGCGACCTCCACCACGCCGTCGCCGCCGAAGGCGATCCGTTCGAGCCCATCTCCGGGGTGTATGCGCGCTCCAGCGGGATTGTCTGGACGGTTTTTGCGTGCAGGGGTGAGGTTGCGATGAAGAGGTTTCAGGTGGCGCAGGTGTTGAGTATGGTTTGGATTCTCATGGAGGATTATGGGCCGAGGGAGGTGGTGGGGAGTGAGATTGTGAGTGCGGAGGGGAGGGGGTTGGCGAGTTTCGTGTTGAGGTTTTTGGGGGGGTAGGTGGGTTTTGTCGGCAGGCAGTCATGTATATGTATATGTATAGTCTCCTACCAGCATGTGACTCTTTATTCCGTTTCGTTTCTTTCAACATCATACTACTCTTCCACCCCTTCCCCCCAAACGGGTGCCTGTATATAGTCTCAAGTTTTACTTCAAGTGTATGTCGTGTAAGTACGGGAATCATCCAACACTAGGCTACGAGAGTATGCCTGATCAGACCTCTATTCGCTTGGTATGTTGTCGTTGGAACGGCTTGGTTACTGTCCACGTCATTTGTATGCCCACATTTGGGCCTAGTATATATGCATCTCTTTCCAGTATGAGACAACTACTCAATTGCAAAACACCTTTTCTTGGAGAGACCGCACTTCTCCGGAGCTCCAAAAAAGCTATTTCCGTGACACTGGCTCACCCAGAGCATTTACAGACATCGAGGGCCAACTTAGTACCATGGATGTGGATCGCGAACGTTCAGCACTGCTCGACGTTCTGAGAAAGGGGATGAATGGACACGCTAATGCAATGTTTTCGAGTCGGCTTAGCCAGTCGCATAGCCTACTGACTTATTACCGTTGTTGACAAGATGAGAGTACTTATATACAGAATTCGCTCAGGCGGAGATGTGAGCTAAACATCACAAACCAGCGGAAGCAAATAATGAAAAAGTAGAACTGATCTCAAGAAGTTGCAACGGAAAATGATGAGAGAGGATAGAGATGCGGACGAAGAGACGCAATTGGAGTTTCCAAAACGGTATCTTTCTCTTCTATCACTGGCCTTCTATAGACTCGTTGACTACAATGAAGACATACAATGGGCTATGCTCGTGGCTCTAAAGTCTGTGAACGTATGTCAGACGACGACGTCAGTTACCTACGCGAATTCTGTGGGATCTCCCCCGACAAGCCTTGAGTGAAGCCAAGAGAAAACAGATAAGACGATGAGTCGAAGTGAAAAAATCCAAACTCAAAACGAGTTGCGTACGGTTCCAGCCGTACTGGTTTTAGCATCCCACCATTCTATTGTCGTGTGTGACTTGGGAGGGAGAAGGTGGAAATCTGACTGAAGAGATGGGCTTTGAACAGGTCAGTCCTATTGTTCCATGATGAGCAAAAGCTCACTGGCGCTGGTTAACAAAAGACACTCTTAGAGACGGTCATTGTCATTTTGTATACCACGGTGTAACGATAAAAGGTCAAGCAGACCCGTGTCCGGGCCAACCCCAGTGGCCAATGCAGTGCTATTGCGTACTGGCGGCATCACAGAAGGCTTCAAGAGACTGAATCGTCATAATACTGATTGCTGGAAGGGTTGACATTGAAGAAGAAGCGATCAGGTTAAGGCAAGAGATCTTGCTACGGCCCAGGCTCTTGAGGCGGAGGGAATCACCGTGGATTCCACTATGGCACAATCTTGGCCCGCATGGAAGGATGATCAGCCATTGAAGAGGAAGAAGGGGGAAACCACCATAGCTGGGGATCAGGCTAGGGCTGCGCCTCACGAGGAGAAAGAGGATGTTGCTCCTGGTGATGCCACCGACGGGCAAAACAAGCCTGATCCTAGCAACGGACTTGACGGCCTATTCGACCATGACTATGGTGACCACGATGGCTACGATGGCAGCGACTTCTTTGATATGGAAGCTCACTAAAAGCAGTAAGTTCCAACTGTCAGATCTTGATCTCATGGGTTTTTAAGATGCTACTATACTCGAAGCTATGGAAATATGTCCTTGATCACCTTTGCTGCCTCTCTTTCTTGTAGTTTATGGGTCCACATGTTGTGCTATGATGTTACGATGTTTATGACTCTCTTCTTGTGCCCACCGTTCCTTATTTACCCTGGTGGTCCTCGATTCCTTGCGCAGGCTGTTGTGACGACATGACCTTAGACGCTACAACTTCTGTGGCTTTATAACTACTTCTTTCGTCGCTGGCTACCTCGAAGAAGCTGATCCAGCATATAAGCGAGAAAATATAATATTGAACATAGAGGATGAACTCTCCATTATCCAAAGCTTGGAATCTTTATTCCATCACATTCAGGACGCTCAGGGTGTTCCGTTGGAAGATTAGTATCCATCACCTGCGGTATTTTTGTGCGCGAATTCCGACGAAGGTGTCGTTCCGGATGCATGGCTAGTGTAAAAGAGCCATGTTATGTTCAAACTGCTTGGTATGAATTGTTTAGTCTACAAGGGCGTAGGTTTGACGGAAGATTCACACAGCGTAGCAAGATGATAACAACGAATAGACTTGCCCGATTCTGACTACATGTTATGCTTTGTTTCAAGTCGAAAGGGCGGGCAAGGCTTTAGTGCCAGATTTTGCCGCCTTCATTCCTCGCTCCGTGCCATTGGCGAGGAAGTCTCCGATGGAGACTAGGGGGTTAGTTGGTTCTGTTGTTTCAACGAAGGAGAGGGGCTGGAGAGGGATCGAGGTCTGTTTTGGATACAAGAAGAAGGAAAATAAAGGGCACAAAGTTAAAGGACCGTAACGAATGCTAGAAAATGGGATAAATGGTTTTCACGGACGCTTTCGGCACCTTCTGTTCTGGAGACGTATTCAAGACCACCAACCACATCTATTTCATCTACGCTTCACGAGCAAAGAACTTCATAGCACACGTGGATACGTATTCAAGGTTGCTAGGTACAATTACGCTGTTCTTTCTTAATTTTTATCTTGAGTCATAGTACAAAGCTATCTATTAAACCGATAAAGATCTATCTATCAGTTCAGTACATGTCTTTGTACATCTTCCCTACTTGAATGAAGCCTCCCCCCCTCCCCCCTCGATTCCGTTACCAGCAAGCTCTTTGTATCATCCATCACCAACCCACAGCGCGCATCCCAAATTTTGAAATTACACATACACCGAGAGAAGAACAGAACACAAAAGAAGAGACAGAAAACCTCCCTGGAACATTATGGAACTGCCAACAAGCTTTGAATATCTCCTCTCCGACTCTTGCCTCACCGATATCATGACCGTGCTGGCGTTCGGGTTCAACTTTGGGTGGGCAGAAGATTATTTCTTGATTGAGGCGGGAGTGACGGCGCTGTTTAATATGCTGTGATGGGGTTGGTAGGCTAGACTGGTATTCAGATTGGGATGCCCTGTGTATGTATGTAGAGTAGTGCGGCATGAGTTGTGGTGATGGAAATGAGTACTTAAGTCCTAAAAAACACTTTCGAGTTGATGGATCGTGTTCACGTAGTGCTAGTGGTTGCTGATGATTTCAATCATGCGTCATGGGAAGCGGTGGTCAAAACCTTCCGTCAATGCGTCCGAATCAAATTAGCCCTGAGTGGTTCTGTCTGCTCACTTCGCGCGCGTTGATGGAGTCTATCGTTGCTGACCTGGGTTACCCTTGGTTGCCTCTGTGTAGAGTCATGTTAAGTGGGAGGACAATACGCCTGATGTGTTTGGGGGCTGTTATGGCTGAAAGGTTCGTCATGAGATGCAGGGATCTGATCAACATACAGATTGGCACCTTGATCTAATCATCTGGATAACGATGGAATGTTCTCTAAGTAACGGTAAATGAAAATACATAACGACATGACGGTGCCCGGCGACATGGCCATCACCGAAACCCTGCAATATACAGTATCCGTGGAAGCTGACGAAGTCACCGGTAAGATGTCTCGAAACGAGGGTAACGGCCAGCAAGATGGAACCCAATTCTTCATCTGCTCGGTCGATCACGGCGCCGATCCAATTGTTTCTCAGCTGCTGCTCTTAAAGCTCTATTTGCTCGAGGAGTCATAACATCAGACTAGCTTCCTTCAGTATCCTGTTCTGCAACGATCATAGGATCGTTTTCGCGCTCCTTCTCCTTGAGGATTGCGTCCCAAATTGCTGGTACTATCTTGTCATATCCCCGTCTTATCGTTTCCCTTCGTACTACCTGTATAAACTTGTTCTCTGGCAAGCCGACGTCACGATCGCGTATGAAGAGAGCTATCACTTCGTTGATTTCTGCCTTCCGTTGGACTTCGTCCACCACGGCTTTGGTGTCGGCTTCTATTCCAGCTTCCGAGTGATCACCGGTCTCATGGTCACGTAACAACCCCAAAACTGGCGCATTCCCACTTTCAGTTGCGATAGACATCGCCGTTTGTCCAAACCGATCCTGAGCCGAAATATCAGCCCCGCTTTCAAGCAACCGCTTGAATATCCTCTCGTTCCCGCGTTTACAGGCGGCGCAGAGAGCCGTCATGCCATCTTCGTCACTTGAGTGAACGTCTGCTCCTGCCTGAAGGAGCGGTACCACTACTGCCTCGTGCCTCGCCAATGCGGCGTAGATGAGTGCGTCTCTCCCATGCCGATTCTTTTCGTTGACAGCTACACTGTCATTTAGTAGCCCACGAACATCGAAGTCGTCGCCCCCAATGACTGCACATATGAGAGATGTGCAATATTTGAGATCCTGCGGGTCACAATTGGCTCCGAGCTCACCCAGCAAATCAGGCATCGCTCTGCGTTCTTCTGCGCCACTCCATTTGAGCAAAGCCCATATGAATAGGAAGTCGCCGTTATCAACGCCTAGGTCTATGGTCATTCCATGTTTGGCTAATATCCTCACCATGTTCTCGTTTCCCTCCAACTTATGGGGGGAACACTCAGCGACTACGAAGTTTTCTGCACTGTCGTGCCAGTATGCGCCACGTTCGACGAAGAGGAATACTAGAGTAGCCTTTCGATACCGTATCGCACATATTGGAGCTGACTCTTCGTCGTCAAAACATTCTAGGTTGCTAGCAAGACGCTCCAAGCCAAAATGGACTAGGATTGTCAAGGCTGGCATCGGTCCAGTAGCCGGCACTGTCGTCGATCAGGTCGCAAGCTAAAAGCCCCCTTAATTCGCGCCCCAGAAAAAGGAAAATGATTATTCCGAGAACGTGCTCTGGAGGGCCACGTGCATGATGGCCCCAGTATTTCCCAGCGTAATCAAGGAAGGGATACTTTGAACGCATTTCATCGCTGACTTCTATACGCTCTTTTCCGTGTGTGTATCTCTCAGACTCAAAATCGTCGAACCCAAGGTAAGTGATGCAAGCTTTTGCGATCTCGACTTGAATGTCGATGTTCCTGGGGAACGTCTTATTGCGTACGCCTTGGATGTAGTCATGGGTAGTGTAATGGACCAAACGAATGACCTGACTTTCTCGGTCCACGGTCACTAACCCGGCGCAGACAGAGACAAGATCATCCTCAGCATAGAGTCTCTCTTCGTCAAAGTTGTTCTGAGCAAATTTCAGAGTCAGCATGGTCTCTTCGGGGCAAGGGTTCGATATGCACATACCTCGCCAGGCTGAACCGCAAGTGCATGTTGAAGCTCTTCCACAGAAAATGGCCTCCGGGCTTTGGAAATCCAGGCTAAAACGCGTTCAGCTACGCGAACAGACTCTGGGTCTTGAGATCGAATTCTTTTCATGGCGTCATCGTAAGTCTTGTTTAGTTCCTTGGGTAAAGAGCTTAGAGCCTTGCGCATGTCCTTCTTGGTCTTCTGTTTCGCAAGCGATTCCAAGTGTGACTGGACTAGCAAGAACCTTTCAAAGTCAGACCGCAAGCTCGAGCGTAAATGAACGACATCGTGGGGACTTTGAAGTACTTACATGCCTCTAGCGTTACCAACAATTGTCGCCACGACCTCTTCTTGGAAAGAGGGATCCTGCGCCATATGACGTGCTAAGCGACGGTCTTGCCGGGTCTTGGATCGTGTATAGTTCTCGAGATCGGTGTCTGAAGCATGGATCTCGAGATGTACTGCATCATGGAAGTCATGTGGGATAGAGCTTGCGGGGCGCAAAGTAACCAGCAGATGTGCAGAAGACCTTAAACAGACCTTCAGTTGCTGATCGAAACGGGCTCCAAACACGTGTTTGCGCACGAACGTCACATCTTCCAGCCGAATCTTGATCGTGTCCAAAGCTTTTTGAGATGTTTCGAGAGGCTTTTGAAGGCCGCGTAGGGCTTTGAGTCTGCCTTGATCTTCCTCGCTCGTCTTCAGCTCTCGGTCTAAGTTCGTGATTGTTTTATGGAAAAAGAAGAGATCTGAATGGATGTCCCTTAGCTCTTTGGAGCTGTGCTGGGAGGGTCCCATGTATATTCTTGGCTGGCATTGAGGCAGGCCGTTGTCACCCGTGTAACGGCCATGACAAGACCGGCAACACTTATAGGATCCATAGCTATGAGGTACCTTCGTAACAAGAGTGCTTCTGGGGCAGCTCACCGGGCACGTGATTGTGGTCGTTACACAATCCGATGCTCAGTGTTCTCATTCTCACGCATCACAGACACACATAGGGCACACATGAGGTATCAAGTGGTTGGGCCGTCCCCGACGCCGGGATAACAGCTGAATAGAGGCCTGAACAGACGTATTCGTACCCCAGCGCCGAGAAGACTCCCATGCCTATGGCAGAGACCTGGAGTGAAATAGTAGCTAGCTATATATATAGATGTGGGTGGGTGGGATAAAAAGTGTGTAATGGCTCTGAAAGAGATGAAATCGAACGGAGAGCCATTGAAAGGTGCAAAAGAGGTGGATATGTAGCTCGTAGCGGACAGGTGTCTCCTACCCCTGACGTGGTACCTGAAACAGCGGCTATATCATCAAACCCACTAACCCCCAGTCCCACTGTGGCGAAAGGATGCCTTGTTATAAGCCATTTGAAACCTCGGCAAGTGTCTCAGCAGTTGATTCTAGGGCATCCTTATTAGCAATATGGTAGACTCCATGAAGCAATTTATGTAACGCCCTGAGACCTGGGTCAAAACTAAGTGGACGGTCGGAATACCAAGTGGATGCTGCTGGAGCTAGGTAAGTGCTCGAAGGACTAGCTTTGTACTAATGTCTCACAAGGAATTGGACGCCTTCCCGAGCGCTAGCAACCGTATCTCCCGTTCTTCTAAGACACCCAATGACTGACTGTCTGCAGATTTCCATGCAACTATTCCCCGGACCGAGCTTTCAATCTGTCAGCGAGTCCCATCGCTCGCCCCCCATCCAAGCTTTTTGACAAGCGTTCAAGCCTCCTGCCAGCTTCGTAACGTGGGAAGATCTCACCTCCACTCCATATGTTCCTTTCAGTCTGGGCTTCTTTCTCGTAACAGGCGTGCGCATGTTGCTTCGGGATATCGACTCCGTGATAACAAATCGAATGTCCAGGACTGAAAATGCTGTAGCCTCGCAGAAGTGGCATGTTGCAGCCTTGGAAAATGTTCTAGTTTTTCTGTCCGGCCTCGGAGTTCGCTAAGTGACCAATGAAGACAGGCACAAACCGAATAGTCTGACCCTCGAGTAGCCTAGCTGCATGCGTCACACCTCCGCCTAAGTGCAATGCCAGGGAATATATTGTTATAGGATATCTTGTGAGGCTAGGTGCAGATGGCTAGAGATCATTCAGACTTTTCAGCGTTGGGAAAGAAGAGAGAAAGCTCCCCCGCTATTCTTCCCCAATCGGCCACTAGACCTCCGTTGTCATACTCAAAGATAACTGATTTCACAACTGCATTCGTGTAAGTACCCGCGGATCTTAAGATACCTGAAGACTACCCGAGACATCTAGCAGAGTTGTGGCACGTAGCCAGCCAGTCAATGCTCAGCGCTGCAACCCTCGCAAATTAGAGAGGATCTCCGGTGTTTACCGCACCCAGTCAGTAATTTAACCAAAACATGCAGTCTCCTACGTACGCAGTTTGACCTTAATTGCATATCGTGCTGGGAGCGTGCATCATCCATGGTCAGCCTTGCAGCTAATGGCTGCAAAGTCGGTAGGAACGGAGCCGGCATATGAAATCGATTTATCGAGGTCAAGTCTGATCTTCATGATGCCGTTGGCTCCTTTGTCCTCGGATTGTCAGTTCAATCAAAGCCTTGCGCGGAAAAGGCGCCCAAAAGTGCGCAATGCAGCGTTGTCAGAAGAGACCCCAGCAAGGCTGCGAGCTTGCCCGGAATGCCGGGAGCGAAGCTGCAGAACCTGGAACAACAGCTCCGAAGAGCTCCTCATTACGGACTTCGGCATGTTGCAGCCATGGCTACGCCTGTGGGTGACTCAGAAGAGTAGCCCCATCGCTCCGCTTCACGACCAGATCTTCAGGCGCTGAAGCATAGTAATAGTGGTTTCCACTGCGTTGGAATCGATGAGACAGTCTTCCTCAAGCCAATTTCTCAACGACTGGTGAGCTTCGCGTGGTGAAAGATTTGAAGGAAGGAAGCATCAACGACGTTTTTGGGAAATTGCGATCGAGGCTAGCTGCGCTAGTCCTTTTAGGGTCTAGCGAATGCTTGGCGTCACGATTCGTTCTCACCACCGAGGGCACCGTCTTCTGAGTAAACACGTTCGAAGATACACATTCAACAAGTCTTTGCAAATCTGACGGCTTTCCAATCAAGTCTTTCTGCCAGTTAGTGAAAGCATTCTCTAAAACTATCCATTAGATCATTACTCATAACTCTGCAGTCGATGTCCCGGAGACCAAAATCTGGCGCTTTAGCATCTCAAATAGCATGCCTTACTTGCTACGTCTTTGTATTCAAGGCTGAGGGTCGTAGCTACATGAAGCTCGAGTAAACATGGAACGGTGACCTATTTGGGCACCAAGTGGCAAATACTGAGACAAGCGGCGAATGATGCGGAACTGAACGGACGATGAAGTGCGTAAGTCTTTTTTGTCTTGTTGGCACCGTTGGAGTCAGGTTTAGCGGACTTTTGTTTGACCATGTTTGGGTCGAGTAAAAAAGGGCAGACTATATAGGAGAGAGCTTCTTTCAGTAAGAAGTCACAGTGGGTTAGCCATCGTAAAAGCTCGTCAGAGCATTGTTTCGGTCCTCGCTGTTTGACCAAAAACACCAGCTCTTCTTTGACATCGATCGCTGCTTTGAATAACCTTTCAAACAGGGAGAAGAATGCGAATTATGCGGTGATGTTTCTTCTCTTCATAGTACAATGGATTCTGACAGCTCCAGTCGAAGATGGATAAACAATGCCTTTGTTCTCCGGGCAGTCTTGGCTTTCAAAAACATGCCATGCATTTTCTGTCGACATCACAAAAAATCGATACGTCCACTGACTTTCTACTCATCTTCGACACCCTCCATCAATACTGCCCTCAACACTTTAATCCCAACATATCTCACGTCTCATTCCAGCAACACAATGTACCAGGGTATACAGCAACTATCCCATCGTCTGGCAGGGGTAAAATTCAGGGGTTCCGACCGAACATCAAAAAGTCCCGTCTTGCAACTCACCATAACTCAATAACGAGGACCCCCATAGAAAAGTTTATAGTTTCGCATTTATTTTTCTTAAGCAGATCTTGAACTTCGCAACTGAAAGTTTTACTGTAAAGGTTGTCATTAGAAAGTTATTGGGCTGCGAAAGTATGGTATTTTAATGTTCTGCCAAGACATTTTACCTCCAAGGAGCCAGACGATGGGATACGCCGAGTGTGGTCACGAGCACAACATCGAAGTCACAGAACCCGCCCCCGCTTCTCGAACCACCCCTCCCTCAAGCTCTGCACTTTCCAAACCATCTACACCAAAGCAATTTCGGAACCGGTGCGCTGCACCCCATGCTGCCGCCGCGTCGAGCGCAACATCATCACGGAATACGAGATCGAGAACGCGCAGTATGAGACGCAGGTGCAGTTGCTGACGCGGGAGTTGCGGGCAGAGATGGATGCCGATAGGAGGAGAGAGATGAGGGGGAAGATCAGTGAGTTGGTGGAAGAGTTGGGGGATTTGAAGGATAGGAGGAATGAGGAGATTGCGGAAGTTCGGTTCCGGCAAGGTGTAGGGGCGTCGTGTTGAGACGGTGGAGGATGGTGGATGGTAGTGTCGGAAGAGATGCACTTTCATATCGAGTGTGGATAAGTTTGGCGTGAGCCAGTACGAATCAACGTTTGCAACTGATGCTGAGCCTGAAAGTTGACAAAATCAATGTGGTATTCCAAGCCATCACGCGATTCATGCCCAACACATAGCTCTAGATATTGATCGTTCAGTCTCAATTTATAATCGTGCTCTAGTTCGCTCGCTATCGGCCGTAGTTCCAACGTCAGATAAAGAGCGCTTTGTTAACGTGCTACCTGAGATCTCTTCTCCTCTCATGATCGGTCTGTATCACTTTCATCCTCAAGTGGCTCCATTTCTCGGGTCGGATGCCCCATCAGAACTTCTGTCGAGGCATCTCGCCACCTCACGTTCATCGTAGTCATAGCTTCTCGACTGCTCGTCTGCTTTAGCAAATTATTCCACGGGGCCATATCGAAGCCATATTGTGGTGACGTAGTCCTGAGCCCTTTGGGAACTCCGCAGAACGACGATTCTGAGCAAACTCATAGAGATGGCTTGCCGCGCGTCAAAATCGGGGTTTTCAGGAACCTGCTTCAATCTCTTTCTTGACCCATTTCTCAAGCCCACCTCGAGCGATGATCTCCTGCACATTCGGACTTGTAGAGGTCAGCATTATTCGTCATATTGAAACATTAAGTCGTGGGACAGGTTGCGAAGTTACTTCGCTCGAGTAACGTATAGGGTAACCCTGATACAATATGGACCAGAGGATGAGGAGCTAGGGATTATCATACGGTAGTGCCCCAACGCTTTGAGTCCAGGTCTTCCCATCTCCTTCCCGAATTGTCACTGTCGATCGAGCGACATCCCACGCGAAATGCCAACCGCTAATGAAGATGCCAGGGTCAGCATTACTTCAATAAGCATGAGGTTGGAGATTGGAGAGAAGTCTGCGGAGTAAAAAGAAGCCCCGAAGCTCTCCTAAAATGTCTTGCGATTCAATATGCGGCACGGAATAAGAAATGTTTTCTTTGAAAATACGTACGTCCTTCTTGTCAACTGTTCTTGCTTTTCTGGCTTGACTTGCGGTGCCGGCGGTGGACTGTCCAAGGACTCGCGATTTTGACTAGGCTCATGAACGTTTTGCTGCGATGCTTGTGGTGAGGTGTTCGAAAATGCCTCCCTTAGCCTCTGAACCAATCTTGGCATTTCTATACCCATAAGAGCGTTGTTTATACTGTTGCGTGAAAATATGTTCCCGAAGCTGCCTGAAACCACCAGGGGTATCTTCTTCGCTA